GGCACCATCAGCTTTCTTCGCCACATTTGCTTATGCACCCATTTGTCTTCAGTGATCTGTTGACACCTCGTGATCACACAGGCTGATATGTTGTTTCTGCTGACTTTGAAGTTCATAAAAATTATTTATAAATCCCCAGTCCAAAAATGAATCTTCCCTTTCTAATTTCCTCTTAGCCAACTAAGAGGAATCACTTGTTTTTTTACATTCCAAATCTCTCATCTCATTCATGGCTTCTCTATTTCAACCTATGATACCCATATTCTCCAGAGTTCCAGAAAGTAGAACTCCCAGTTGCAACATCTCAATTCCTATTACCTGCAGCAAACCCAGTGCCAACTACTAGGTTCCAACTCATAGTCACCCTATGAAGGTTTCCAAGACTAATCCTTTGATGAGGAGTGGACCTCCTCATCTTTCTCCCAAGGAGCAGCTGGTAGTGGGTAGTGTGATGAGCAGCCCAGTGTTTACCTGACAGTGCCACCAGGCTCCTTTATCCTCATGCTTAACTTCCTTTGGCATGTAGGACTAAACATCTTATTCTAACTTATCTGTTTTTAATGAAACAGTTTATTGGGGGCTCTTATTACAATCCAAACATCAATTGTATCAAGCACATTTGTATATACGTTGCCATAATCATTTAAAAAAAATGTTCTTTCTACCTGAGCCCTTGGTAACAGCTCCTCCCCCACCACACTCCCACCCTCACAAACCCTTGATAAATTAAAGTATTATTTTCACACCTTACACCCTCTGCTGCCCATCTTCACCCTTGTTTCTTTGTCCCCCAGGGGGTGGAGGGGAAGGTTATATGTCGATGGATTCCCCCTACCCTCATGGTATCTCTCCTTCCATTACTGTTCCTGACAGGTTTATCTAGCCTGGATTCTGTGTGTTGAGAGCTTTTATCTGTAGCAGTGTACATGCTCTGGTCTAGCCGGATTTGTAAGGTAGAACTGGGGTCATGACAGCAGCAGGGAGGAAGCATTAAAGAACTAGAGGATAGAAAATATAGCGTCGGGGGTCTTAAAGACTTGAAGACAAACAAGCGGCCATTTAGCTGAGCAGCAGCAAAGCCCACATGGAAAAAGCACACCAGCCTGTGTGATCATGAGGTGTTAACGGGGATCAGGTATCAGGCATCAAAGACCCAAAACAAAAAACAAAACAAAACAAAAAGCATATCAATGGGAATGAGGGGGAGGGCAGAGTGGAGACCCAAAGCCCATCAGTAATCAGTTGGACACTCCCTGTCAGAAGGGCCACAAGGAAGAGAAGAGCCAGTCAGGGTGCAGTATAGCAATGACAAAACACAAAATCTTCCTCTAGTTCTTTAATGCGCCCTCCCCCGCCCCATGACAATGACCCTAATTCTATCTTACAAATCTGGCTAGACCAGAACATGTATACTGGTAGACAAGAGCTAGCATCACAGGGAATCTAGAGCAGATACACCCCTCAAGACCAATAAGGGGAGCAGCGATACTAGGAGGGGAAGGGGAGGGGGTAAGGGGGAACCGATCACAATGATTGATGTATGGCCCCCCCTCCCATAGGGACGGAAAGCAGAAAAGTGGCTGAAGTGAGACCAGTCAGTGTAAGACATGGAAAAAAAATTTATAAATTATCAAGGCGACATGGGGAAGGGAGGGTGGTAGACAGGAGGGAGGGGGGGAAATGAGCTGATGCCAGGGGCTCAAGTAGAAAGAAAATGTTTTGAAAAAGATGACACCATATGTACAGATGTGTTTGACATATGGATATATATATATATATATATATATATGGATTGTGATAAGAACTGTAAGAGCCTCCAATAAAAAAAATTTTTTTAAGGGAAAAAAAAAAAAAAAAAAACTAGAGGAATGTGTGTTTCGTTGGTGCTAGACTGCACCCCGGCTGACTCATCCCTTCATTGTGACCCTTCTGTGAAGGGATATCCAATTGTCTACTGATGGGCTTTGGGTCTCCACTCCAACCCCCTTGTTCACATTGATAGGATTGACTGTGTTGGGTCTTCAGATGCCTGACATCCAATCCCATCAACAGTTCATGATCATACAGGCTGGCGTGCTTCTTCCATGTGGGCTTTGTTGCTTCTCAGCTAGATGGCTGCTTGTTTAACTTCAAGCCTTTAAGACCCCAGATACTAAATCTTGTAATAACCACGCACCATCAGCTTTCTTCACATTTGCTTATGCACCCGTTTTGTCTTCAGTGATCGTGTCGGGAAGGTGAGCATCACAGAATGCCAGATTATTAGAACACAGTTCTTGCATTGAGGGGGGACTTGAATAGAGGCCTGATGTCAGTCTGGTACCTTTATTCTTAACATATAAATATATGTACATAGACCTATATCCTTCACATATATTTACATGCTTATATTCAAACCTCTGTAAATGTCTTTTGCCTCCTAGTCCTTTCCTCTAGTCCCACTATCATGTTCAACCTTCATTCGCCTCTCAGTAATTTCTTCATGGCTACATTGTACTCGATCAAACCCCACCAGGCATTCTACACTCTCCTCACCATTGATTTTAGATCTCTTATTGTTCCCTTGTCCTTGGGTTTGTTGGTGCCCCCCTCCCTCTCCCCCACCTCCTCCTCTCCCATGTCCCACCGGATCTGTCAGTCCAGTTCTTTCTCCTTGGGATTGTAAACAGTCCTGCCTATCTTATATAGATAGACGTGGAGAGGAGGGGTGAGAGCCTACAAATAGTTCCAAATCTGTCTGCTGGCCCTTATGAATGCTTTCAAATTGGGTTGGATGAGGTGACAAACCCTGCACCCGCACCACCACCACCACCACCGCCGTCAGAAATCTATTTTTGGGATTCCTTGGGAAATCCGTTGTTTTGTTCCCCTTACTGCTCTGTTGTGCTCCTTTTGTATTTCACCACTGTTGTGTGTGGGGGGTCAGACCGGATACAATTCTTGCACTATATCTCCAGTGTTGTCCCCGTAGCGCTGTGGGTCAGTGAAGGGATGTGGTGTCTCATGGTGGGGCCAGCCCTATGGTCCTCTCTGTGCGTTGGCTGTTCTGAGAAGGACTGTCACCCTCGAGGCTTGGTAGCCCTTATTCTAACTTATCAATCACTCTCTCCGCAAACGATTTGAATTCTTCAAGGTCTAGCTCAAGTCACATCTTACTCAAGCAACCACTTGGGATTAGGAACGTATTTTGAAAACCACCATGTAGTTCTTAATAGTCTCTTTGATGTTACTTGCTGTGAGATAAGACCACAAAGTAATAAGGTGGGCCAAGATTGCAGTCACATTATTTATCTTAAAATCACATCCATGCATCCCCAACTACAACACATAGGTAAGCTTTAAAAAGCATGGCTCAGATATGACTCTCTTCTTCCCACATTACCCACCATGCTCCTGGCACCCAGCACTTGCCTAGAACAGATAGATGTTCAATACCCATCACCTGACTAAAAAAGGTACACTCAGAGAAAGGCAGAAGAAAGGTTAAAAGCAGGTTGGTCCAATGACCAGCTACTAGTCACAAGAGAGTTCTTTCGGCTTCCGTTCCTGTTCTAACCTATAAAATGCAGATAGCACCTAACACAAGGGACGGTCTTCTAGAATGGAAAGACTACAGCATACCTAAGTGTGCTGTGAACGTCAAAGGACTGCACCAAACTCAAACCCTGGACCACTTGTAGGAAGCCATACACCTGTGGTGGTCAATGAATGCGGAAGACCAAAGACTAATCGGTAAGCTTGAATTATGGTGTTGGCAAAGACTCTTGAAAGTACCATGGGCTGGGGGGAGCGGGGAGGGAGGGGAAAAATGAGGACCTAATGTCGGGGGTTTAAGTGGAGAGAAAATGTTTTGAGAATGATGTACAAATGCGCTTTACACAATTGATGTGTGTATGGATAGCGATAACAGTTGTATGAGCCCCTAATAAAATGTTTAAAAAAAAAAAAAAAAAAGAAAGTACCACGGGCAGCCAGAAGAACAAATGAATCTCTCTTGGAAAAAGTACAGCCAAAATGCTCCTTAGAAGGAGGATGGTGAGGCTTGGTCTCACGTACTGGGGGCGTGTTGTCAGGAGAGGCCAGTCCCTGGAAAGGAACATCAGGTCTGGAAAAACCGGGGGGCGGGGGAAGAGGAAGGCCCTCGATGACAAGGGCTGGCACAGTGGCTGCAACAATGGGCACAAGCATCGGAACAGCTGTGCGGATGGCGCAGGGCCAGATGCAGGTGTTTCGTTCTGTGGCACAGAGTCCCTGTGAGTCAGAACCTGACTCCCTGGCACTTTACAGTAACAACATCGATAGGTTTTCCTCAACGGGCGGAAGACAATCACGAGGACGTATTAGAAAGAAGTTTTCAGAGAACTGAAAGCTGCAATGCCGAGTTAAAGGCCAGGAAAGCTGCTCTGATGCATTTTCCTTCCAGTACGACAATGCACTTGCAGTGGCTTCAACAACGGGCTCAAACATCACAATTGCGAGGACGGCGCAAGATCGGGCGGTGTTTGGTTCTGTTGTACCTAACACCACACCAGTGTCCGAGACAGAGCCCAGACAGCGCGGGAGGGCGGTTCCGGAGAGTGAATACACGTCGTTCCGGGAGTTCCTTAGGGCGGGGGGCTGGAGTCCGAGTACGCGCCGCCTAGGTTAGCGCGCCTCCCGGGGCCCGCAGATAGACACCGTCCGGGCCAGGCTTAATACTCACCGGGAAGTTCCCGCATCAGGTAGAAGGGGCCACAACCCACTCCTGACTTGTCGGCGCCGGGAGGAGCTGTGGCCGCGGAGGCGGCCGGGACCGTGCCGGGTCCTCCACCCGGAGGAGGCGGTGGCGGAGGTGGCGGCTTTCCCGGGCCGAAGCCGAGTGTGGCCGGGGGCGGTGGTGGGTCCGCCTGAGCTCCAAAGAGGCCCGTGAAATTCTCCATCGTTCCCTCAGCCCCGGCCGAGCCTAAGTCTCTGGAGTTGAGGGCTTTCATTGGCCAATCATCTCACGGGGACACGCCCTCCAGCTCCAGGAGCCACTTCTCATTGGATGTCGCAGTCCCCGCCCACCAACTTCCGGCAACTACTTCCGTGGCTTTAGAAGAACGCTCAGAAAGTACTGTGCGGCACTAAAATTCTTTTCGGCTATCCCCGCTCGCCACAGTCGTATACCCAATGAGAAAACTTAATGGAAAGAGCAGCAGCTCGATCGACCAGTTAGGGATTAAAGCCCTTGTAGCTCCCATCGCGTCCAATGGGGATCTACTTCCGGGCCAGTAGTGGGTGCACAGCAGGCCTGACCCAATGGGCATTTTAGTGGCGGTGGGGGCGGAGGCCTGACGGACGGCGGCTGGTGCGGCGGGCGCCGCTAAGACTGGAAAGATGGCGGTCCTAGCACCTTTGATTGCACTCGTGTATTCGGTGCCACGGCTTTCACGATGGCTAGCCAGACCTTACTATTTCTTGTCGGCCCTGCTTTCAGCATCTTTCTTACTCCTGAGGAAACTGCCGCCTCTGTGCAACGGTCTCCCCACGCAACGGGAAGACGGCAATCCGTGTGACTTTGACTGGGTGAGCGATCCCTGCTTGGGACCCCGCGACCTTGAAGCTTCCTGCCTCAAGGGTGCATCTGGAAGTCCTGGGTGTCGCCTTTCTTAGGGCCCGGACTGTCAGGACCCTACGATGGGAAAATGGGAGAGGAAGACCGTTTCGGGGTTGCACCGCTGGTTAGTTATAGAGCCTGACCAACACACATGGTCTCCCCACCGTTTCCCATTCACCGTTCGTCTTGGTCCACAGCCCTATCAAGTCATCATAACGTTTCGCAGGTCTTAAAGGTCTCTGGTGTAAGTCAGGCCTCCTAAGGAGCCAGTAAGGTAGATGAGGCAAGTGGTAGGATTCTCGTTTTATTAATGAAGACACTGATCTCGTCCTAGTTAGACGACTTGTCAGAGAGCACACAACTAGTGATTGGGATTTGAAACCATATTTTTGCCCATAGTACCTGCACACTCTACTAGCCATTTCTGAATTCTGTGAACATTTCCGGAATGCATATTGGCGGTTTGAATACACGCACAGGGCTGCTCCGCGGGAGAAAGACCTGGCCATCTGCCCTCTTAAAGATGACAACCTAGAGAGAAAACAAACAAGCAAAATCACAAAAACAGATTTCAACCTGGAGAACCCTATAGAGCAGTTCTTCCCTGTGGTTGTGGGTTGAAATGGACTCAAAGGCACCAGGCACCAACCTGTATACGGGGCACTGCGCTGGGTCCTGAGGGTGCAAACGAGACTTAGTGTAAAGGAAATGTGAAACGGACTTGGACGTGGTACACCCCTTGCTGTGCTTCCCGAATACACGTAGAGAGGCTGCTTCGGAAAAGGAGTTGAAGCCCTTCCTTAGGCCCTGTGTTGGATGGCAGGGTTTGTATTCTGCTGAGGGAGTGTCACCCTGAATGCCTGTCTAAAATTTAGAGTGTATGTTAGCAATGTTAGAGTAAGTTTCCAGAATTCCACCTTAGAACAAAAGCTTATTTCTTAAAGTAGTCAAGCAACTACTTTGCTTTTCATAATATCCTATCTTTTAGGGTAAACAAAAAATTGATGTGGGAAAGTTGATTTTTTTCAGTAGAAGAAATTGAATTGATAAATACAGAAGGATTGGTAGAACCTTAAAACCATCCTTTTAGCAAGCCCTGATGAAGTAATAAACCTAGGCAGGGATCACCTGTGGATGCCTTATTCATCAGATGAAAAGTTGGTGTGTCTTCTGAAGTTATTCTCTAGCTATGATCTATTTTTGCCAAGAGATTTGGATCTTACTGTATTCCAACCTCTAGATCTCATTCCTACTCAGTAGGAAATATGGAAGCTGGAAGTTCATTATCAGAACACATACTATTATCAGAACACCTACTATGAATCCAGAAAACCACACTACCAGTGATGCAATGTCTACAATAAATCAGTAGCCTGGGATAAAAAGGAAGAGAGACATATATCCATTAGTGATTAAAGAGACCAAAGAATCACATCAGTCAAATGCATTGTGTGTGTGTTGCCTCAATTCTAACTTGAACAAACAACTGTACAAAAGCATTTCGAGGCAATCAAGGTCCTTTGGGTGAAAGCCAAATATTAGATGAGGGCAAGGAACTATTAAGTTAAATATGATACACATTGTAGTTGTGCGTGCATGTTTTAAGTCCTTATCTGTAAGAGATGCATGTTCATGTATTTATAGGTGAAACGATGTGGATGGAATTTGCTTTACATTTTTCTTGGGGAAAAAAGGTGAGGGGTGAGTAATATGGAAGACATGAAACCAGATTAGCAAAATGTTGTTGAATTTTGGTGACGGAGGTTCATTAATGTGAGAGCCAACTCACAAATCCACCAGGGACAATGAAGAAAACAGTAGAGATAAAAGACAAGAGACAAAAGATGGGGCGTAGGGCATTGGGGGCTCAAGGAGAAGGGACTCCAAGACCCAGTTCTTTATTCAAGACAGGTTTTTAGGTAGCTTGTCACATAGCCTGCGTTCCATGACAAGTTCCCACACAAAGGATCTGTTGACAATTATCTGAAGGCAAACAAAGAAACATTAATATTTTAGCCAATTACTCTGTGGCTCCGAGGAGAAGATAAAGCCAGGAATAGGGAGTACAGCTGATTTCTTGAAGAATGCTGTGTTTCAGCAATTTCCCAGGGAATGAAAGTGTCTACCTTATCTTTTGCGAAGGTCAAACCATACAGTGTATCACCTCCTTGGACTGAGCTGTCAGCACCTTCTCCGGGGCCTTGCCTAAACTGTGGAAGGTGGTGGTCCTGTCCCGCTTGAAGAAACAAATGCGGTTCAGACTGTCCAGTTAATCCACTCTGTTACTTAGAAGCCTGGGTCAGGGTTCTGCTCCAGGTTCTCTGCATTTTCTGAACATCTCCACATTCAGAGACTTTGGCATGTATTCCTTTCTCAAGAGTTCATCTAAGACACTCTGCTCCCACACATTAAAGTATCTGTCTTTGGCATATGGTGGAAATTATCCACACTGCCAATTTCAATGTAACAAAGACCTAAACAACCACCCAGGGAGTTTTGCCTCACATAGTCACTGTGCCTATGCTCCTTCTGTCGGCAATCTGTATGTCCTGGAGGTCATCCTCACGTCACCCAGCCAGCAGCTGGAACAAGAAAGCTGGAGTGAGAGCCCAAGTCTTCTCTTTATTGCCTGGGTGCAGAGTGGCATATCCCTTCCACGCACATTTCAGTTAGAAGAAGTGCTGGTCACACAATCTTGCGCAGATGCAGCATTCTCAGCGCTCACTGCTGCAACAAGTGGCATGTAGGTGACCATATCTAACCTCTTCTGGCTTCCCTACTTCCACAAGGTAAGAGTCACATGTGCCTCTACTCTTCATCCTTCGTTACCTATTCTGACACCACGCATTCCTCCCACGCACTCGACATCTATGGGGGGGGGGGGGGGGGGGTTGACAGTTCATTGCAATGACCACACAGAACTCATAGAAGATACTCATAATTAGGGGATTTGTTAAGGAAATTAATAGGTTACCATAAATAAGGATCAGCAAACAGTAAGAACATAGTCATTGGTTTCCTCAGCCAGCAGCCAAGTCTCTGATTCTCAGCCTTTCAGCCACATGCTCTCTTGGCCTTTACCTCCAGGAGGAAGGCAGCCGATCTGTCACTCTGTCAAGAGCTCCATACTCCAGGGCCAGATGCAAAGAAGGTACCCATAGTCTCAGTGCTTC